TCAGCGCCTGGCCTGTAGCTGCTCCTTGAAGTGTCGGCTGAGCCTCGCTGCCTGTTGCGTTTATTCTCTGAGGCTGGGACAACATAGAGAGCCTCTTTCTTTTACTCAGACGTCTCATTATACACATTCTTGCTGCCAGCCGAGCTGACCATACAGCTTTTATTTAGGATGTAGGTGAAACAGTTTCTTCTAAAGACTTTTAAATATTAATATAATTTCTAAAGTAAATAGGCCGAGAACCTAGTATCCTATAACATGTGACCTTCACTTAGTAATTTTTGAGCAACCCCAAATATTTGCAATCCTCTTATCTAGTTTACATTTTGTAAACAATTCAGCCATTGAATTTTGTAGAGTACGTAATCTGCTCTCCCGAAACACAACTCTAGTCTGTGATGAGAATTATGATGAGCATGGAGATACACATTTTTAATTCAAGATGATCGCTAGGTTGTTTTTGAATATTCAGATGAGCTGAGGAATTGAAAGAGAAGCAAACATAACTTTACATTCCAAGAGACATGTAAGCACAAGGCTGTTTTTAGTCACTGGCATCAATCAGAAGATACTTGTTGCATATCAAGTGTGTTGAACATGGCACCGGTCAAGGTGATGCATGGCGAGCAGGCACTCAGTTGACCTCTCCCAACCTGGTAGAAATGCCCTTGTTACTCTGGGACTCCCAGAAATGACCTTCAAGGTGGCTTCTGAGGTTTGCTGCTGTGCATCTGTGAGGCCCACTGTGGGGGATACTATGGGGGCTACAGAAGGTTTATTCTAATTTAGGGGAAGACAGGTTCCCAGATGCTCTGTGGTGAGCTGTATCACTCAGCCATCTAGTTTAACCTTGTAGCTAGGACAAAGGAAATAGTGCATGTATTCCTTGAGGAGCTGAGCACCAGACGCCAGACTATTTATCAACATAGCTGTCATTCTTTCCTCTTAGCAACTTGACAAGATCTTGACATTGAGGAAGTGTGTCTTATCCCCCCTCTTTAGGACATAGCTCCAAACAATAGATGCTGTTCAGTTTCACAATAGGTACCATTTATGTGGCTCTTACTATAAGTTAGGTCTTTCTGTCAATCAGTTGTTAAACACCAGTGAGAAAGATGAAAAATTAAGGCTTAGAGAGTTTAACTAACATGTGCAAGCTAGTAAGGGGACGGAGCCGAGCTTGTACCCAGTCTCTCCCACACTGAAGATGGAGCTTCCTTATCCACTGTGCGCTTCTGCCAGCTAAAAATAGAAGTTTTTTTCTAAAGAAGGGCTGGCTCATTACTACATTACTCAACTGGTCATAATGTAATTACAGTGAGTTTTAATGTTGTTAATGATTTGCAGAATCTCCTCAAATTATATTACTTCTCTGAAAACTGAGGCCTTAATCCATTGACAAGTTGTTAGAATTGCCCTTCAAGTTTTCAGTCATCAGCCATACCACCTGGGATCGTTCATCAGCTTCTGGTGATGGCTGGAGCTTTGCAAGTGTTCTCTCTCTCTCTCTCTCTGTCTCTCTCTATCCAGGGTCACTGTCTAATTCTCTTAGTATCCCGATGCACACCGTGCAGCATTCTTATTTTACCCATACTTACTGTGTATTTCTAGTATCTTTCTCTTGGCTTTCTACTAAGTAATATTGATTTTTGTCTTCATTAATTCTTCCCATCACTGCCAATTTTCTTTGTCCTTTGTTCAACATCTTTTTGAAAGTGTTATTCAATAGGCTTATTCCAGAATTGTTGATTTCTCATTTTTAATTTATTTCTTGTTATTTTTCATGTAATTATAAGGCTTATTGTGTTTTCTCACATTTTCACCCTCCTCCCCCCACCTTCTGTAGTTATTTTGTTCCTTCTCTGGGGATTTTTTGGCTGTTTTTTTCCATCTCTTTGTCCTCAGTTCTGTTCCAGGCTGCTTGGAGTCTGGATGGAGGTATGGTGGAGCAGAGCCCGGGCCGGCTGCCTGGGGGATCCCAAAGGAACTGCCAGGGCCTAGGTTTATGTAATCATTCGAGGTTACTGCTGTATCATTCTCTTCCTACCTGTCTCAGTCTCCCTGCCAGCTCCAAGCAAGACTTTTCCCCAGTGCCTGCAAGTCGGCCAGGGAAGAAAAAAGCAGTTCCCATAGCATCAGGGATTCACGGTTGGCCTCTGTGGCCCTTGGTTTCATAAAAGAGTAATGAGCTCCATTCATTCTTAGACATACTGGGCTTTTAACCAGGCATCTAGCAGTTACTGTCCCAGACCTTACACCCACCCTGCAAGGTTAATTACTATTTATGCTTGATGGCTGGCCAAGGGAACTAATGTTCTGAGAGGTTAAGAGTCTTGCTAAAGAGCACACAGTTTGTAAATGGGTGCACTGGGATCCCAACCCCTGCCTGTGTGACTCCACAATCTACACTGTTTCTACCCTGGCATATCCTTCTGTGCCAAAATGAACTTGATACTCGAGCATTTGGGTTAGATCCTTTGTATCCTCCTTAGAGGGTGTCTTAAGTATTTCCTACTGTTGTATCTTGATACCATTGCATTATGCTTCCTAGAGTTATTCGTTTTTCCCAATTTGAGTTATTAATAATCCCAGTACATTGTTTCCTTTGTTCATTGTATTAGAATCAAGAAACTGGTGAGTCTTGTTTCTCAGCTTCCTGCCATAGTGAGAGCAGGCCTAAATTAATTATAACATGTTGCCTGATAATCTAATAATATAAAATCAAGGTTATTGATTTTTTTAAAAAAATAAATTCAACTTTGCTGCTTACAAGTTTTTACATGGATCCTTTCCTTTTATTGATACTGGTGTTTTTACTCTTAGACCTGTGTTCTGCTGATGTTTATAAAGGAATATTAATAATATTGTGCTGACTGCAGGTTGGAATAAGACCTTGATAAATTTAGGATATATGTTAGTTTTATAAAATTGTCAGGATGATTTTTAATCTGCAGTACGGGCTCTTAGATTTGATGCCTGAGGTCATCAAATCTAATTGTGGTTTAGAATAAGTTTTGGTTTGATGAGCATCAACATTTCCTTTCTTACTGTCTTATATTGGAGGGGTCTAGCGCGATCTTCAAAGTATATATTTTTCTGATTAGGAAATGAAAATATAAATTATGGAAAATGTAGAAATATATATAGACTAAAATAACCACCTATAATCAATCCTATTTTCTAGTGATGAATGCTATTGACTGTTTTAGCATACATATTTTTTTCTATTCATCTGTTGCTGTGTGCATTCTCTCATACCTGATATCCCAACACATACATAATTTTGTATTCTCCTTTCTCATTTGATGTAGGTCATAATAAATTGTCCATCATTAAAACAATTTCATGAGCCTAATTTTAATGGCAGTATAATATTTCATAGTATGTGTATGGCATAACTTACTAATCACCCCCCCCCCCCCCAGTGTTAAGCATTTAAATTGTTTCCAGTTTTATATGTATATTTTAGTGCATCCATCTTTGCCCAGATTTATGATTGTTTCATTTAGATTGATCCTCAAAGTAAAATTAATAGGTCAGAAAGTATAGCCACTTTAAAGATACTTGATACATAATGCTTACCAAATTATTTACCAGAGTGAATTTCCATTCCAGCCAGCAGTGGGTGGGAACCTGGACTCATGACTGCCCACTGCCATTGTGTGCTAGCATGACTAATTTGATGACCAAAACTAATGATGCTTAGTGAGGTCGAACATTTTAAAATCTGCAATTTAATTTTTTCGCTCCTTAAAAAAACTCTACTTTTCATCTATTGAAGTCTTACAGTTTATAAGGGCTCTTTATATATTAAGGATATTGATGCTTTCTCCATTATATTTGTTGAAAACAGTTTCCTAATTAATCGTTGGCTTTTATTTTTTAATAATTTTTTGATGTTTACATGTGTTTAATTTACTAATTTTATATAGTATTTTAATTTACTAAATCATTTATAATATATTATAGAATATATAATTTACTATGTAAAAATAAATTTACTAATTTAGTTTACTGTTTTTAAGTTTTTATATCTTTTGCATGTGTGTGATTTCTGCCATAGTTTGAGAAGTCTTTCTCTATACAGAAAGAAGCTAAATATATTTAACTATATATTTTTTCTAGCTCCTCTAATGTAATTTTAAAACTGTACCTCTGTGATTTACTTGGAATTTATTTTGAAGCATATTTTGATATAAAAAAGTCTAATTTAATTTCCCCCATAGATAATAAGTTGACCCAGCAATATTTTAGTTGAATAAGCCACCACAGACTTTTGTCATTACTTCATCATGTATTCATGTTTTATCTGTGTTAGGGTCTGTTTCTCTGTTATTTTAGTTTATTGATCTGTTTCTTGTTTACCCTAGAATCACACTCTTAATTACTGTAGCTTTGTAATGTTTTATCATTTGAGAGATTGCATTTCTCCTTCTGCCAGTTATTGTCTAGAACTTTACCTATGTTAACCTTTTAATTTTTAAAATATAAATCTTAAGTCATTTTGCTAAAATCTTTATCCTCTATCTCTGTGACCTCCCCACTCCTTCCCTAAAACCAAAACAACACAATAAAAACCGGAAGGAAACACAGACAGCCCTGGGAGAGCTATTGGAATTGTGTAGAATCAATAACATGATTTAGGCAGAACTGTATCCCTTTAGTACCTACCTCGAAAGGCACTTTCCTTTTAAACAAAATCTCCTTAATTTTCTGGATTTTGCTTATTCAGTCATTTGGTCAGGTCAGAGGTGGTTATCACGCAGTGCTGTTTAAGCACCAAAGATGTTCCAAGGCAGAACTGTGCGGTATAGCCTGCAAATGGCCAAATGTAGCCAAATGCTGCCAGATAATAGCTCTCATACAAGAATGTTTTTTACGCTTTTAAAGGGTTGTAAAAGAAACCAAGCACGATTATGTGATGGAAACCTATGTGGCCTACAAAGCTTAAAATATTTACTGTCTGGCTCTTTACAGATCAAGCTTTCGGGGGCACACACAGCAGAACCCTGGCAAGCAAGCCGGAGACACGTGGAGCTCACATGTTCATTGTGAGTCATAGCTTCCACTTGCTACCTCTTCAACACACTGACTTGGAAGGTTTTTTTTTTTTTTTTTTTTTAAATGCATTTAAGATAACCTTATGTGAGGATATGAGTGAATGCTTACAGGTATTATTCTCTCTTCCCTTGTTTTCTTCCTATATTTTAAAAGATCATGTCTGCTTGTGAGAACATCTCATTTTATCTGACCTGTACCCTGAAGTAGGGCTGTCCATGCAGGGACATTTAGAGGACTCCAGGTAGAGTCCCTAGGTTGGCCCCAATGCTCTAAACCCTAGCAGCAGTACTATTTGATAGACTTTTAATAAATAGATTAAGGCATTTTGTTAACCTTCAGTGATTTGGTTTACTATCTGATGAACTCCTGTTAACCTAAAAATAAAAAGCCAAAATGAGAGACAAGTCTTTTTTGGGAATCAAAAAGAATTACAATTTGGGAAGCACTGATTCAGACAGAAACCCAAATTGTATCCCGATTACAGGGTGAAGGCAAGGAGTTTTTATGAGAAAAGGGAAGTGATTACACGAGTAGAAGAAATTTCTATTGGTGCTAACAAGTTGGATTATTCTTTAGCTGTACATGGCTGATTACTGATCCTGTCTTCCAAAAGAGTCTATAATCATCGATCCCTTGAGGTCAGAATAACTGCTTTTCTGTTAGCTTTGCAAACATCTGTTTGTAAGATAATGTTGCTTTGGCCCAGAACAAAAGTTATTTTGCCCGGTTCCAACATTCCAAAAGTTCAAGGAGCAAGACTTGCAAGCAGTTCTTCTGGAATGGTGGTTCTGGTTCCATTTTAAAATGGCTCCTCTTACGTCATTCTTCACACTCCCATCTGTTATCACTGGGGAAACCCCAGATTCCCCAGGGCATGGGTCGTGGACAGTGTTTCTAACAGGCTGACCTGAGGAAGCAGTCCAATGGAGGCGTTTGGGTTTCCTGAAGGAGCTTGAAGACATCTGCGAGGTCTTGGGAGGAGACGTGAGGAAGGGAGTGATTGTTGGAAAAGGAACCAGAAGGGATCTACAGGTTACTGTTACTGGTAATGTGGGAGATTCTGTACTGAAGGGAGACATGAAAACCTTGAGGAAGGAGAGACAAGAGAGATGAGCCAGAAAAACGACACTGATTCTGCCTCTGTTCCAGATGTTTCCATTGTTGCTGAAGAAAGGGCAGGAAGAACCAAACAAAAGAACAGGCCCTGGCCGGTTTGGTTCAGCGGTTAGAGAGTCGGCCTGCGGTCCTGAGAGACCCGGGTTCGGTTCCCGCTAAGGGCGCGTACCTCGGTTGCAGTTTGTCCCCGGCCCTGGTCGGTCGTGTGGGTGGCAGCCACTCGATGTGTTCCTTTCACATCGATGTTTCTCTCTCTCTCTCTCTCTCTCTCTCTCTCTCCCTCCCACTCTACCTGAACAAAAAATGGAAAAATGTCCTCAGGTGAGGATAAAAAAAAAAAAAAAAAGAACAGGTTTCATGTTTAAGCAGCCTGAGTCTCAAGGGGCGGGTCTGAGCTAATGGGTTTCTCTTCTGTTTCTTAGAAGATATAATTGTTCAGGCATTGAATCCAGCCTTTTGGATAATCTGAAAGGAAAAACAACCAAAGTTGATGTCTTAAACTCATAAGTTTACTTTCTGAAATAAAGAAGGTGTTTGCTTGAGCTTTCATACCCTCCTCCCCCAAGTGTAGAATTATTCAAGAGTAGTGTAAGGCCCCACAGAGTTTGGTTAATAGAATTTACAGCAGGCAAGTTAAAGACCAAATTTCATGGAAAAACTTCTAAAGTGAAGTAGTTGGAAATTTAAATTAGATTTGAGTGTGATAGATCGACTACTGAGAAATGCTATTGTGCCTCACTGTTAAATTCCACAGGAATCTGCCTAGAATTCATAGTGTTGTTTTTTTCTGTTGCAGTGAAGTACTGATTTTGCGTTTTGAGTCCAACTATATACGTCTTCCAGGTGTAATCATTTTACCCAAGTAAATATCAGAAACTCAAAGCTATGTCTAGCAGCAGGTTGGTGTTCTGTCAAGAATATTCTTGCCCTGGCCGGTTTGGCTCAGCGATTAGAGCGTCGGTCCCCGGACCAGAGAGCCCTGGGTTGGGTTTCTCCTAGGGCCACATACCTCGGTTGCAGTTCGTCCCCGGCCCTGGATGGAGTCATGCGGGTGGTGACCAGTTGATGTTTCTCTCTCACATCGATGTTTCTTTCTTTCTCTCCCTCCCTCCCGCTCTATCTGCAGATAAATGCAAAAAGAAGAATATTCTGACAGCTAAACTCTAAGGAGTCTTTGGAGAAACTCCTGCTTCAAAAGAGGATAGTTTTGTGAATCAGGGAGAAAACATTAAGATTAAAATATTGTGAGATTTATATGTGTATTTATAAATACAAATACATATTTCATAAAGTGAGCTGGATATACAAATATTTCTTGTCATAGTGATGCCATGCCTGGCATGTGCTATAGGATGTGATGTAAGATGTTAATGCTAATAAGATACAGGGTGGAGCAAAAGTAGGTTTACAGGTATTCATATGAAAAATAATACAATAATTAATAAATATGATACAAAAATAAACTTTATGTTTTATGTACTCAAAACTGTATACCTACTTTTGCCCCACCTTGTATCTGCCCACAACATTATCATTGGTGGAAATCAGAAATCTTCCACTGGTGTATCTCTGTTATTTCCACCATCTGCATTGGACATTTAGAGCTCACATCAGCAGGCAGGATGGTTTAGCGAGTCATGTGTGTGGACCAGGCTGAGGCCTTGGGTACTATCATACATCAGATCCTTGCTAGGGCAGGTCTTCATTCCTTTCCAAGTCATTGGAATATATCCACACACATTTATGGAGACTTGTACCTAAACTTCCTCAGAAAGGGGTATCTAGATAATTTTCCCTTGGCTGTATGAGCTACAGTGTCTATCTTGTTCACTGCTGTGTGTTCAGCTCCTACATGATGCTTTGCACATTGTAGATACTCAGTAAACATTTGTTGAGGGAATAAATGGTCTATAAATTAGGCATCTTGAAATTACTATGCTAGTTCTCACATTTTACCACTGTACAACTATAATAATGGGGCTGACTTTTATTAATTGGTGACTATACAAGGTATTGTATCAAGAACTTCCTCCAAATTTCATTTGATCTCCACCACAAACCATGCAGAATGCATTAATCACCATATGTTAGGTTATTCTGTGGTCACAACTCCCCAGTTTCAGTGGCTTCAATCAACAGGGCAAAGTCCTCTGTAGTCTGGGCTCAAGAGCACTCCATGAGGTGACTCAGTGATCCAGGCTGTTTTAATCTCAATATGACTCTGCCATCTCAGCCTAAGGCTGGGTAAGAGAGAGGCTGCAGCATCATGCACAGACTTTTCATTGTCCAAACCGAGAGGTTGACAATACCATCCATCTGTTCAAATTTCACTGGTCAGAACTACTATGTCACATGGCACCATCTAACTGTGGGGATGGGGGGGGGGGGTGAGGAGTGCAGTGTTCTGTATGCTGGGAAGTAGAGGAAAACCAGAACTTAGTGTATAATGATAATGGCTATTGTAGGTCCATTATACAATTATCCCCATGTTACAGATGATAAAACTGAGGCCAGAGAGGATAGGTTACTTGTCTAACGTTAACAGCTGATATATGGCAGAGCAAGGCGTGGAACTTAGACTCATTTGTTTTTAAAGCCCATATTCAACCACCATGTAATACTACCTTTATTAAGGAAATTAATTTTCTCCTGAAGAAAACTTGCCCTTAATGAGGGAGAAAATAATAAAAGTATCAAATTTGGGGTTTAGGAACTTGGTTTTATAGGATGGATTCCATTACTGACTCTTGTACATGTAGCTAAGCCACTTCTCTGAGCTGATTTCTTCACATGGGAATAATGATTACTTTAACAGTTATGTGAAGTAATGCATAAAACAGCACCTGGAGAGGCATAAAGTACTGTATAAAGGTATCATGGTGTTACTAGTGACACCTGCTTTCTTTATGTATTGGTCTTGTGCAGGTTTTTCCACATGTAACAAGCTTCAAGATTCTTATAAGAAAACAAACCCTTTACCTAATCTTGGTATATTTAGTTGGTTTTCTTATACAAGAATATGCTGTATGTTACAATATAAAGCTTAACTTCATTGGTCTAATCTTTCAGGCATTTCATTAGACTGAAATGATGTTCAGTTTCAACTAAATTGATTAACTTTCACCTTCTACTCACCCTTCACCCCATCTTTTTATTATGAGTTTCTAAAAACTGTTATTTTAAATGAGTATTCCAGAGAACATTTCTAGATAATGCAAATGAATATGTCACTGTAAATTCAGGAAACTCTTTTATATTTTGCCACCTGTTTATGACAACACGGAGTGGGTCAGAGCAGTTTCATGTTGCTTGTGGCCTAATTATAAAAAGCAGTCCTGCCCTGGCCAGATATTTCAGTTGGTTAGAGCATTGTCCCAACACCCCAAGGTTGTGGGGTCAATCCCTGGTCAGGGCACATACACAAAACAAGCAATGAATGCATAAATAAGTGGAACAACAAATCGATGTTTCCCTCTTTTTCTCTTTCTCTCCCCCTTTCTCCCTCTCTAAATCAATAAAGAAAAAAGAAAAGCACCCCTCCTCCCTTGCAGGTGTGGGAGGAGAGGGAAACCTTTTTGTTAAAATGTGTTAAAGGACTTGACCTAGCTTCCTGTCTCCCCAAACTTAGGGTAATGTTGCAGTTCTCAGTATTTGTCTCCTATTTTGAGTACCTCCCAAGCTCATTGTCGTCTGTGCATCTCTCCTGGCACAAGAGTTATGCCAGAGCATGTGGCCAGGGGAGTACCCTGATTTTATGTTAGGCCTGCCCCACACCGCTTCAGATATGATTAATAGACTTTTACAGTTCTTTGACTTCTTCCTGGCAGTGGTTCATAATGTAATGAATAATCAGATTAGAAAAGAAAAAGCTTTC